CTTTAAAGTAGAGACACTACATACTGATATACACCTGAACATCAGCAGGAGAGGACTCTTTAAAGTGGAGACACTACATACTGATATACACCTGAACATCAGCAGGAGAGGACTCTTTAAAGTAGAGACACTACATACTGATATACACCTGAACATCAGCAGGAGAGGACTCTTTAAAGTAGAGACACTACATACTGATATACACCTGAACATCAGCAGGAGAGGACTCTTTAAAGTAGAGACACTACATACTGATATACACCTGAACATCAGCAGGAGAGGACTCTTTAAAGTAGAGACACTACATACTGATATACACCTGAACATCAGCAGGAGAGGACTCTTTAAAGTAGAGACACTACATACTGATATACACCTGAACATCAGCAGGAGAGGACTCTTTAAAGTAGAGACACTACATACTGATATACACCTGAACATCAGCAGGAGAGGACTCTTTCAAAACATCAGGATGATAAAAGAGTTTCTTAGGGAAACTTTCTTGATCCATCTAAGTTGCAGTTTGAGAAAAATTACATGAGTTGAGAAAAAATGTAGTGAATAAATTACATGAGTTGAGATAAAATAAATTACATGTTACCTGTGTTTTCTATCATTAGATCCTCCAGATGTTTCTCACTGACACCCAGTCTGACCTCACGAGCTGAACATGAAAACCATTCATGTTTAATTTAAAGGTTTTATATTTGTATTGTTAAAGTGTTTTGAAGAGCTTACCTTCACTGTGTTTCTCCAGCTGCTCCAGTTGTGTCCCAGTAATTTTAAGTCTGACTTTCAGAGCTGATAAACAATTGAATGTTATTCAATTATATTTTTACTGAGTCTGGATTTAAAGTGTAAATGATAAAGTTAATACAACTATAATTCTACCTGTAGTGTTGGTTTGACTTTCTGTCAGTCTCGACTCCATCAGGGAAAGTTGAACAGACTGAACTGAAAACACAAAATCAAACCAACAACAAATCTTGTTAAATTCTTTCAATAATCTGTATTTAACAAGAACGATCAGAGTTGATCCATCGTATAAATTGGGTGGATCCTAAGTGTTTTCTGTGTTCAGATCATCCAGCTGTTTCTCAGTGACTCCCAGTCTAACCTCCACAACTGAACAGCAAACTATTCAAATTTAATTTAATGGTTTGATTAGTGATTATTTAACGTTTTTATTGAAGGGTTAATGATATTACCTGCAGTTTGCTGCTCCAGTTGTTTCTCAGTGGATGTCATCCTGACATCCAGAGCTGATAAACAATCAGATGTTATTCATTTATTTATTTACTGAGTCTGGAGGTAAACTCTTCAGTAAAGTCAAGATAAGTGTTAATACAAACGGTTATGTACATCTAACTCTACCTGTTGTGTCTTTTTCACCTTCTGTTAGTCTCGACTCCATCAAGGAAAGTTGAACGGACTGACCTGAAAACACAAAATCAAAATAAACAAATATCAATCTAATTATATGTTGTAATTTGTATTACTCAATACAAGAGGTTTATACATATGTTCAGAGGTTCAGCAAATACTGTGAAGAACCCCAATATGTTTTTACAAAATCATAACGTTTCATTCTTGCAGATTAAAGAGTTCCTCAGGGAACGGTGTTGGGTCTTCTACAGTTTCAGTCTGAAGATATATATTAAACGTTTTTACCTGTGTTTTCTGTCTTCAGATCCTCCAGTTGTTTCTCACTGACACCGAGTCTGACCTGCAAAGCTGAACTCCAAACAATTCATGTTATTTTAACGGTGTCATTTGATGGTGAATTATTTAATATCATAGAGTTTATTATTTACCTGCAGTTTGCTGCTCCAGTTGTGTCTCAGTGGATCCCAGTCTGACCTCCAAAGCTGATTAACAATCAGATGTTATTCATTTATATATTTACTGAGTCTGGATTTAAACTGTTCAGTAAAGTCTAGATTAGAATGATACATTTACTGTATATGAACATTTAAATATAGATTTAACTCTACCTGTAGTGTTTTTTAGACTCTCTGTCATTTTGGACTGCATCAAGGAGAGTTGAACAGATTGAACTAAAAACACAACATCAAGGCCAACAAATATAATCTTGTTATATTATTACAATAATCAGTATCGTAATAAGTTGAATAATCAAACAATATTTGAAAAAAGGACCGTCAGGGTTCATTCAAGCTTATAAGGCGTTACTCAGAGAACAGAGTTGGATCCTCTACAGTTTCAGTCTGATGATATACTTATAGATTTATACCTGTGTTTTCTGTCTTCAGATCATCCATCTCTTTCTCATTGGCACCACATCTGACATCTATAACTGAACAACAAATCATTCATGTTTAATTTAATAGTATAATTAATTATTAATCAATATTAATATTGAAGACCTAACTATGTTACCTTCATTGTGATTCTCCAGCATCTCCAGTTGTGTCTCAGTGGCTCTCACTCTGACATTTAGAGCTGATTAACAATCATATGTTATTTATTCATATATTTAAATGTTTGGATGTATACTCTTCAGTAAAGACAAGATCATATAGATAAGTGTAATTACATATGTCAATATAAATATAACTGTACCTGTAGCGTTGTTTTGAGATTTCGTCAGTCTCGACTCCATCAAGGAAAGTTGAACGGATTTAACTAGAAACAGAAAATCACAACAAACAAATATTTCTTTTTTTTTTAATGTTCCACTACTATGTATTATGATTACTAATGTAATGTTCATTGGTAATAATGGAATATTATTTAATAGCTGACTAAGAGAGGTAAATATGTCAGTTCAGAGGGTTAGCAAGTTTTGCAAAGAACCCTTATATATTTGAGATTTCCAAAAGGACAATCAGGGTTCATTCTAGTTTCTAAAGGAGTTCCTCAGGGAACCATTTTGGATCCTCTACAGTTTCAGCCTGAAGATACAGTATATTGAAAGGTTTTTACCTGTGTTCTCTGTCTTCAGAACTTCCAGCTCTTTCTCACTGACACTCAGTCTGAACTCCAGAGCTGAACAGAAAAAAATTCATGTTTAATTTAATGCTTTAATATACGATTATTTAAAGGTAATATTAATTATTTTACCCGCAGTTTGCTGCTCCAGTTGTGTCTCAGTGGATCCCAGTCTGACCTCCAGAGCTGATCAACAATCAGATGTTATTCAATTATATGTTTATTAACTGAGTCTCGTTTTATAATCTTCAGTCAGAAACATAATTGTAAATACAATTGTTATTATAAATCTAACTCTACCTGTAGTATTGTTTTGAGTTTCTGTCAGGCTGGACTCCATCAAGGAAAGTTGAACAGATTGAACTAAAATACACAACATCAGAACAAACAAATATAATCTTTAAACATTTTTACAATAATATTGTTTCAATCTGAAAATGTTTATTTAAAGGTTTTTACCTGTGTTTTCTGTCTTCAGATCTTCCAACTGTTTCTCACTGGCACTCAGTCTGACCTCTAACGCTAAAGAAAAAACAGAAAATATCAGATTAATTAATAACTAATTAGAACTGTTGTTAATACACATTATAAAGTAAATATATGTCTACCTGTAGTGTTGTTGTTGTCAACTAGTTTCGAGCCCATCAAGGAAAGTTGAACAGACTGAACTAAAAACACAAAATAAATTGGACAAAAACAACAATACTCGTTAAGTTAAATGGAAATGCCCTAGTTACACAACACAACACATAACCAAAGCATAAAATAATATGTTCATTAATATATTAAGATTTGTACCTGTTTTTTCTGCTTTCAGATCTTCGAGCTGTTTCTCACTCTTACTCAGTCTTACCTCCAACTCTAAAACACATCATAAATATCTTATTTAATTATAACAAACACAGACTTCCATTGATGAAAATATGTCATTGCTGCCTGTTAGTTTGGACACCATCAAGGAAAGTTGAATAGAACGGACTAAAAACACAAAATAAATCAGACAAAAAATACATAATTTCGTATTTGTTTTATTGCAATTGTTTGGAAATATTGTAGATACATATGTAACACGCCACTGCTGCAGCACTAAGGTGTATTTTAAGAATTTTAAATGTGTGTTTATTCATTTGTTGTTTGTTAAAAATAGTTGAAGCACATATTTCATACCAAAAAAATCAAAAAGGATGATTAATGAGTTCCTCAGGGAACCTTACTGGATCCTCTGGGGTTTCGGTTTGAGGTAGCACTACATGCACAGTTTGAGCTAAAATAAAGTACTTCCAGTTTGAGTCACTTTCGTTAGCTGAAACATTTCGAGTGCTACCTGTGTTTTCCGTCTTCAGATCTTCTAGCTGTTTCTCACCGGCACTCAGTCTGACCTCGAACGCTAAAGAGAAAACAGTACATTTCAGATTAATTAATAAATAATGACCACATGTGTTGATGAACATAATAGAGTCGATATATGTGTACCTGTAGTGTTGTTGCAGTTTTTCAGTTTGGACTCCATCATGGAAAGTTGAACAGATTTAACTAAAAACACATATTAGATTGGACAAAAGCAACACTACTCATTAAGTTCTATGGAAAAGTCGTAGTTACACAAGTAAACAAAGCATAACATAATAATTACCTCGAAATATGAAGGTTTTTACCTGTGTTTTCTGTCTTCAGATCTTCCAGTTGTTTCTCACTGACACCCAGTCTCACCTCCAACTCTGAAAGAAGTGAGTCAGCAAGTTCTGTAATACCTTACTACCAAAAAACCACAACTCAACTCATTACTTCTGAAGTAATTAATTGACAAACTAATTAACGAACAGATGGATGATGTACCTGCGTTCATTTTGTCCAGCTGACTCTCAGTCATATTGAGTTTTCTCTGCAGATTCATCACTTCCAAGGTTTGATCTGAAACATAAGCATGAACTAAACTGAACTGCAGTAAAACTATGTTTGGGTTTAGCTGTGAACTTTTTTGTGTAATTCATTCATAATTTCGTAAATTATCTGTTACCTGTCCTGTCAGTCTGCTGCTGCTGCTGCTTTACTTGACTCTCAGCAGAGTTCAGTCTGAACTGCAGCTGTTTAACGGTATCAGCCTGAACTGAAAATAAGAGAGGAAACACAGGAAGTGGCATCACCTATCAAAACCTGCTGCATCTCTTTTTGAAAGAGCCTGATTCACCTTTCATCAAATGGCATACGGGAATGTATTGCAAGTATTCTTGTTTGGGTAAAAATACTCCATTTACAAGTAAAATCCTGCACTTAAAGTACATCTTGCTGACAATTCTTATGTACTCTCCAGTGCCAAAATAAACATTTTGCTGAAAAGACTTACACATGTTCTGTGCCGTAGTGTTTCTCACCTGTGTTTTGTGTCTTGAGTTCCTCCAGGTGTCTCTCTACAGACTGCAGTCCACTGGTATGATCTGAAACAATATTCAAAAGAATATTAATGGCATTTGCTGACTGATAGGGTAAATTAAAGATTGTATGTGACCCACCTGCAGAGTTTCTCTTCAGCTCATCCAGGTGAAGGCGGCTGGAGTTTAGTCTGCTGCTGATCTCTGACACTTGATCTGAAATAAATTAACAATCACAATCAAAATGTAACACTAAAGTAACTCAGAGACAAGTGGTCTGACGGTAACACAGACTTTCCTCTTGATTAGGTGATTCTCAATACTAAGAATGGTTCAGAATAAATAAACAAACTATTGATTGTGTGAATATATAAATAATTTAGTAGGTGAGTAAATGAGATCAGATGAAAGATTAATTGATAAATATTTGGTGTAGGTATACATTATTAAACATTTCATAAATGGCGGGATGTTTGGTGATAAAGACCTCGTATGAAGCTGATCTCGCTTCTCTCTGCAGATGAATTCAGTTTTTTCTCCATCGAGTTAAGTCGGCCCTGCAGAGCTGCAACAACACACGAAAATCACAAAAACGAATTTTTATTTCCAAATGATTTGCTTTAAGTCTTATTTTGTCTTACATAATTGTGTATTAAGTTTAAACAAAAGTTATTTTATTGAAATATTTTTTGTTTTTGTCTTGATCTGTATATTTGGTATTGAGGTAAAATCAACAGAGAGATACACAACTTTAGTTATAATATTTTGATTACGTTACTGAATGCATTTTCTAACAGATGATTAGTGATTGTATCGCCGTACATATTTGAATTAACCCTTCCAACCCCAATGTACTTATACTGAAAGCAACATTGACGATTATTGATTATTTTGTATTAATGGATCAAGTTATCTCACCTCGTGTTTTCGTTTTCAGCTCCTCCATCTCAGCTGATCCGTTGCAAGATGTGACTGCTCGGAAATAAAAATGATAAAAGTTTGTTTAACATTATAACTTTAAACTCTTTTCAGTGTTTATTTGCTCCATATGACATGTGAAAGTATTTTACGTTTGGGACATTTTTGTGATTAGGTTAGTTCAGCAGTTAAATCCATAGCACTCCTTTAAAGTGAGATTATGAACGCCACAATCAGGACTACATTTCCTACAATTACACATCAAAGAGAATAGCCTCTAATAATTCATGGTTTAACAGATAATTAAGTAGCTGTTAGCAGATATAATTACAGGGTTTGTTTTAACACGAGATCTGGTTACAAAAGCATTGTAGTTACAATATAGTTAATACATGTTTTTATATGGACTATAATGATCATAAATTAGGTTAAAATAAAGAGTTTCTACAGCGAGGAAAAGAGAGATGAATCTGACCTGAAGTCTGTCTGATCAGCTCCTTTATCACACTCTCAGTCTTACACAGTCTGACTGCGATCTCTGAAAACACCACAAACTAAAGGTTACTCCAGAAATATCCTTGATGTGAGATTTTGTTTTGAGAGTGTGAATTTAAAAAGCTTTAAATCTTTGTCGGATTAACATAATCTATAATTACTGCAATGGACATAAGCTCTCATTTTATATATTTGAATGTATTCATGATCCATAATCTATTTTGTGCCAGGGTGATATGCAAACGTTTTCCTCCATCTTTAATACTGATTTAAAGACGTTTCAACTTTAACCTTTAATTACCACTACAGGCTACATGGGGCGCTGCTGAGCATCATTCATACACCTTCTCTCTGTAGAGTGGTGCAGGAATGAGTCAAAACATTCGGAATAAATTGGCATTTTACCATTTCCCTCGACTAAACGTCATCACGCTGAACATTAGCCACCTTTAGCTTAGCGGTGGTGACGTGAAGTCATGTGTCAGTCAACTGACCTCAACAACTACCGGCCAATCTCCAACCTTCCCTTCCTTAGTAAAATCTTGGAAAGAGCAGTCGCCGACCAACTCCACCATCACATGTCCAACCATGAGCTCTATGAACCCTTTCAATCTGCCTACCGGACCCACCACAGCACAGAGACTGCCCTGATCAAAATCACCAATGACCTCCTCATCGCAGCTGATTCAGGCTCCATCACTACACTAATTCTCCTAGACCTCTCTGCAGCCTTTGACACCATCTCCCATAATATCCTCCTCACCCGCCTGTCTGAACTCCTTGGCCTCACTGACTCCGCCCTCTCCTTCTTCCACTCATACCTCTCGGACCGGGCACAGTTTGTCACACACGCTGGCTGCAGCTCCCCCTGTGCTTCTCTGTCAACCATGGAGTCCCCCAAGGCTCGGTGCTCGGTCCCCTTCTTTTCACAATATACATCCTTCCGATTGGTGATATCATCCGCAGCCATGGTCTCTGTTTCCACTCCTATGCCAACGAAACCCAACTGTACATCAGCGCAAAACCCCCCCCTCAGTCACTAATCAACGGCATACACTAAATTAAAACATGGATGACCACCAACCTACTCAAACTAAACAGTGATAAAACTGAACTCATGGTTGTGGCCCCCAAGGCACTGCTCGGGAAGGTTGGAGATCTGCTCCTCAACATCGACGGTTCCATCATCTCCCCATCCCCTCAGTTCCGCAACCTTGGAGTTGTCTGGGATTCAACCCTCTCATTTCAAAACCACATCAAATCCGTTTCAAAATCAGCCTTCTTCCACCTCAGAAATATTTCAAGACTCC